CATATCACATGATTAGTGCGGCCAGCCACTCATATGACTGGCTCGAAGAACAAAACGACGTAGTCAACCACCGGCAGGCATGTATTCGTGATTGATTGCTTTACCCAACAACCCAATAGCGTGCCCGCAGGAGCGAGCCGCGATGGGAACTGTGACAGCGGAACGATGCCTCCTTGTTGTGTTCTTGAGCCATGTGCGCGGTCAGGAGCTATGACGCCGTCATAATGACGGGGTGAGCGGAAGCAGCGGCCGCATGGATGGGTGTCACAGGGGCTTGGTTCTGCATGACGCCTACGGACGAGTAACACGGTTAGCAAAACACAAGCCTCATCATGAGGGTACTGGCATAATTGCCCCGGTAACACGAAATCGAAGTTCCGGACAACGAAGTCGACTCTCCTAAACTTTAGGACCTAAAGGACGAAATTGGAGGTCTGAAGGTGTACTTGACGAAATTGAAAGTTCTATGACGAATTCGAAGGCTCCAAAGTCGAAATTGAAAATTCTGTGAAGATAAACTTGAACTTTCAATGTCACAAGACTTGTCATCGACTTCGGACGAGCTTGAATGTTCTATGACGGAGTCGAAAGTTCTAATTGTGAATATGAACTTCCCCTTTCGGATTCGTGCCTCCAACTTCGCGCGTCCCGACGAGATTGATGGTTCCAAAAATGAACTAAATGTTCGAAAGGTGTAGTTGAGGGACCCGATCTCCAGCTGGCGAGAATAAGGTAATCTGATACCATGCAAAACCAATCGTCAGAAAGCGGTCACCATTCTGGTCGATCTGCAAAGAACCTTGCTTCTCACATAACCACTGCGAATCCACGGCGACTGTTGGCATCCACAAATCTCACATTCGCTCCAGCCTTCTTTCGAGAAGCTGATCGCCAAACACGTAGGATACGGGCCAGCTCTCATAGACTCGACAACCGGATAACAATTAAGCTTCGCTTCGAGATATGAGGATGAACAGTCGAGATATCAGGAGGTTGGGGTGGTCTTGATGAAAGATGACGGGTGTGACACATTTCCATCGAGCAGACGATGTGGATAGTTCTGAGCTATCCACATCTGAGCTATTAGCTCACTAAAGTTCGTGATTGCGGTGGACTCGTCAGCGTAGGCCGGGGCATCCACCTAATTTCGTGTGGATCGTCCTGAAGTGTTGCGGGTGATCTCTGTAAGTGGTCTCAAGGCGAAGTGGGTGGGACTCCCACCTACATTGCGAGAAGAGCTCGGTGCTCTCCCACCGTCGGAGAGAACCGAGCACTTCTCGCAAACTTCATATTACAGTAGTTTTAGGTATGTAGTTCACAAACGTCAAACCACTGTTATATTGAAATAATTATTTGTCGCCTGGAAGTCAGGCGTGAGGGAGTGGACCGTTCGCGAGCTACTCCGGCGGTGGAGGGCACTGTGGACCCTGCAAAGCTAAAGGACTAAAGGAGACTGTGTACTGGTTCGTTCGGTGGCGGGTGCAGACGTGCTGGGCTTCTATGCAGGGCCATCCATCGAGTACCAGAAAGCCCGGGGTCGGGTTCACATACTGGACAGCGAGGATGGTCGACGATTTTCCCCAGTATATCTGGATGCCGATGGTACTGTTTCCATGGCGGAGACATCACCTCGATGTGCTACCGCCCTTCCACCTTTTCCAAGGCTTCGTTGAAGCTTACCCCTACGAGGTTATTGTCGAGGGTTAGTCGCGAGACTCTTGTGACTAGCGGTTACTTGAACGAGTGGCATTGTCCCCGACTGGGTGGAGACACTGTCGCGTATGGGGGTACCACGACGACGATCTAGGCAGCCGCCTCCAACGGTGATCGTGTCTGTCGGTAATCGTGTCTGTCGGTGATCGTGTCTGTCGGTGATCGTGTCTGTCTGACTCCTTCATCTCCCTATAGTTGGACTATCCGTGTACGGTTTGTGGCAGGCAGCCTGACTAGCACGAGACTCCGCACAACCTTGTGCGGAGTCTTGTTCATTGACAGTATTTTACGTGGAATCCGTGAGTTGATCGATATTGGTAGAGCAGAAAAGCTCCGGAGTGAGGAAGACTTCTGAGAATCTTTTCATTCAGTAGCATCGGGATATGTTTGAACTTCGATTACGAGTTGTAAACATTCTCTGAAGACTAACTCATCATCTTGCTCCGAAGCCAGTGTGGGTTGTTCACCAGTACTGATCGGCTTGATCAGGAAGACTCTGCACCCCCGACTCGTGTTACGACTATGATTCCGAGCAGCAAGTACACTTTGCTACCGAGAATTCTCCAATGCTTTGCATCGTCATCACGTTGCTGCTACCTGCAGCATCAGCCCTGTCTGGAAGCTCAAGGATTATCTTCGACAATCTCAGGGCTCAGGAGAGTGGGGTTGAGCTCAGCTGGCGTCCGCTCTATCTCTCAATCTTCAGACTTGATGTATACTTCTGAAGAAGAGCTTCAGCACTTCAGTCGATTCGAGGAAGAGCTACAAGCCAGGCCTGTGCCGTTGTCTTCCAATGAGCTGGCAGAGCTGTACGAGGAGACAAAACCAGCTATCATGCAAAGTCTCGTAGACGAGGTCAACTCTAAACAGAATCTATGGACGGCGTCCACTGAACAAGGGAGATTCTACGGTAGGCTGGTCGGGGCACCATCGGGAGCTGTGTGAACTAATGCTATTCTATTATAGGCCTGTCGTCTGTCACCTTCAGGTAGATCCCTCGGTGATGCTAAGAAGCTTTGCGGGACATTCCTTAACGGGACTGAAGAGCTCGAGGAGAAGGTCTATCCGGCGGAGGAGCTTGTTGACATTCCAGACAGCTTCGATGCCCGCGATGCGTTCAAGAGTGCAAGGACGTCATTGGCCACGTGAGGTA